GAGAAACACATCCTACCTTCCAAGATATGTTTCTAGTAGTCCCCAAGTACAAGTGAATAAGGATATGTTGTTGTTGTTGTTATGTGCCATCAAGTCACTTGCAACTCATAGTGACTCTATGTACAACAGCCCTAAACTCTGCTCTGTCCTGTGCCAATTGCACTGTCTCTGATACAACCATCCCAATTACCCCAGTCGCTGAATCAATCCACCTATCTTCCCCTCCTGTGCCATCCTTCCACCCTACCAAGCATGATGTCCCTCTCCAAGGACCTGTCCCTCCTTACAACATGTCCAAAGTATGTCAGATGAAGCTTCAGAATTCTTGCCTCCAAGGAGCCACCTGGTTTAACCCTCTCAAGGATGAATCTGTTTGTTTTCCTAGCCCTCAATACTCTTCTCTAGCACCACAGCTCAAAGGCATCAATTCTTCTTCTATCCTCCTTAGTCATTGTCCAACCCTCTGATGCATAACAAGTGATAGCAAAGACTATGGCCTGTATCAGATGCAGCTTAGTCTCCAGAGAGACACCATTGCTCTTCAGTACTTTGGAGAGGTCCCTAACAGCAGGCTTTCCCATCGCAATACATCTTTTAATTTCCTGGCTGCTGGTGTCAAGAGTGTTGACTGTGGAGCCAAGACAACTAAAGCTGTGAACAGTCTCAATCTCTTTACCATCCATCCTGATGCTGCCAATTGGCCCAGTGGTGAGAATCTTTGTCTTCTTGACATTGAGCCTCAATCCATATAGGAGGCTGCAGTCCTTGACACTCTGCAGCAGGCGTTTCAGGTCCTCCTCAGTTTCACAAAGCAGGGTTGTGTCATCTGCATAACACAGATTGTTGATAGATCTTCCACCAATCCTGATCCCACATTTCTCCTCATGGAGCCCAGCCTCCTGGATAATCTGTTCTGCATACAGATTGAAAAGGTATGGAGACAGGACACATCCCTGGCATACATCTTTCCCAATTTTGAACCAGGCAGTGTTTCCTTGCTCTGTTCAGACAACTGCCTCTTGGTCCAAGTATAGGTTTCTCATTAGCACAATCAAGTATTCTGGGATTCTCATTCTTCTCAGAGTCAGCCACAGTTTGTTATGATCCACACAGTCAAACACCTTTGCATAGTTAATGAAACACAGATATATATTCCTCTGGTATTCCCTGCATTCAGCTAAGGTCCATCTAACATTAGCTACAATATCCCCAGTACCACGACCCCTTCTAAACCCAGCCTGGACTTCTGGCAGTTCTGTGCTGATGTGCTGTTCCGGTCATTTTTGGATAATCTTCAGTAGCATTTAAAATATTGTCATTAAGTGGCTCCTGGTTTATGGTGAACATGGAGAGGACCATTATTGCTCTACAAATACAGATATTATCTCTCTTTCTAGACACTGAATGAATACCTGGGCACAGGAACTTCAACTTATTTGTAGCACAACAGCCAGAAGTCCCAGGTCTAGGAGCCAACTATTGATGAGCATAGAGCTTTCTGAAACTTTGTCCAGCCTCTTTAGATCCCCTACTTTGGTTGGCAAATACTTTTTCTTTTCATTCAGTCCATATTAATATGTGATTCGCTTAAAAGGGACTGCATAAAATCATCACATTTGAGGGTTATCTATGGAACATATTGTCTCTCAATGACTTCTCTGTCATTGAGCACGTAAATACCTGCCTGTCTAATAATACCATCAGTATGAGAGCAGAAAATGTTCATTAATATATGCATACAAGAATATAGATTAATGTTGTATAATCCAAAGGTAGACAAACATTTGAAATTACCTGTAGGTATTTGGTTTTTATAAAGTTTCTCTTCAGTATCACTTATTGTGAAGAATAATTAAACATTATAGATACAAAAATAATTTAAAAACAATGCACCATCATGATTTTTTAGACTTTTTCCAAAAGCTATATCCCCTTGACAAAGCTGTTTAGTGTGCAACTGAAAAATTTCAATGTACACACTCCATGAGATATCATAATCATTTTAGGGGAAATGATTGAGGGACAGTGTCTGGCTAAAGAGATTTTCTAAAGAATATCTAAGACAACTAATAAACATTTCATAGCTTCTTTCACCTCAGAGTATAAAAAATTGCATCATTGTATAAAACTAGGTTGGAAAAATCAATCACAGAAAAGCTTAGGTGATACTTTTTATTTAATTCACATTTGCTTTCAACAAAATATGTATATTTTGAATCTATTTATGCCATTAAGGAAAATGGAGAGTATAAATAAGTTGAAGTCCCTGTGCTTAGTTATAGAGTAGAGAGATATTACCTGTATTTGTATAACCATAATCAATATATTACTATTGCCAAATTATAAATATGATACATTATCTTGCTAACTGAACATTTAGGCCAAGACTGATGAGATTTTGAACTCGTTCTAGTGCTCTTCAAATCTGGGAGCCAAGTAGTGTTATTAGCATTTTCATTTTTGCCTCTAAAATGGATCCCTTTTGAATTCCGAGTTAGCTCATTGACCGTGAAATACTCTCCGTTTCAGTCGTCAGGGAAAGGCAAAGGAAGGTGTGCGCGAAGGTTGAGTAACCTGGCTTAGCTAGAGCTTGTGTGGGGACATCACAGGCAACATGCTCAAACAGTGGAGCATAAAGGAAGACAGTGCAGGGGGTGAAGACCCAGGATGAGCTGGATTGTCTCAGTGACTGGAGAGCTGGAATTAGGTCTGTCAGAGACAATGAGATTAGCTTGGGATAGCGCAGCAGTCAGAGCTAATGTACAAAGTTTTTATGAGCCACAGGTGACTCAATGTCACATAACAACAACAACAACAAGAGATTTTTGGAATCTAGCAGGGGTGCTTGGGTTCCTTTTAGCAACGCAATGGAAAAAAAGTCAATGAGCATTAGCATAGGGTGATTAAAGGTGGAGCTTTCATAGGATTTATTTGGAAGTGGTAGGAGATGACCCAAGAGGGGTACTGGATATAAGAGACTATTTAGAAAGGTGAGATGGATTGTGGTTTGTTCTTGAAAACAATGTATTTTAATTTTATAAATAAACTAGTGTTGGAGGAGGATCAGTTCCACTGTACCATTTCCTAGTTGTGGTTAAGTCCCTTCTGACTCATACGGAACCGATGTGTGTCAGATTGAGACTGTGCTCTACAAGATTTTCAGTGACTGATTTTTCTGAAATACACTATGACACTCTTCTCTGGATATACCTCTAGATGGACTAAAACTTCCAACCTATTGGTTGATAACCAAGAGAAGTAGCATTTACAGTCACTAACTAGAAATAATCATCCTGAAGTTATGTTTGCACTTCAGAGAACTAAACAAATCACAGCTAAACATTCATTAATACTGAGATTGCCACCAGCATCACTGGAGCCAAGCCTCACACACCCAAAGGTGGCTCAGTTCAGTGAGTAACACGCAGAAGAATGACACAGCAGAACAAGGAGAATCTAGGAGCAAGCAGAGCACTGAATGAGGAGCGATCTAAGATGATGATGAGACTTTAAATTAGTGACTCAGTAAAGCGGTGGAACCGTAAGTAAAAATTCATTACTGTGGAGCTGAAACCAACTAACAGCTGACCCTTCCGCAGGTTTTCTATCTTGTAGAGCAGGTGATGGATTCGACCATCTGCCTTCAGGTGGGCAGTGTGATTTCCTCTTTATTAGGCCATCAGCACCCCCAAAAGTCAGAAAGAAGTTTAGGGATAAAACTATTAATATAGATTTTGACTATGTTCACTCGGAAAGGCTAAATCAGCTGTTCAGATTGGGATGAACCACCCAAACTGGGAATTGTAGATCCTGGGACACAGGAGAAATGAAGACAGACATTAGTAATGTATCTCTGAGATCCTAAAGAATGTGAATAAAAGCTGAGATTATCCAGGAAAAGAAAAGAGACACCTTGTCTTAATAATATTACTTTCTGTCTATGCTTCTAAAACATTATGAAGCTACTTCGGAAAGCTTATGAAGGGATTTCTCCCCCCTTCATCTTTGTATATCTGAGCTTGACCACTTCTTGACCTCTACCCTCATATTCAATATCTCAAGTATCTTCAAATATTTTTAATGACAAGAGACACCCATCTCTTTCTCTAACCTTACCTAAGAACACTGTTATCTCTTCATTAATCTGTCTAATCCTGTTCTCCTTTCCAGTTGTCATTTATACATTGTTTCAGATAACTATTTTGATCCTGAAGTTTTGGTTAGATGGGACTACTTGATAGTATTACCATAACACTTGGTGCTATTACCAAAACAGTAGTAGAATCAATACTTGGTATTACTATCAAACACTCACTGTGGGTGTTATCAACTGTTTACTAGCTTGGTTTCTATTTGTCTTGTTCATTATTACATTCACAGCACAGTAAGTGGTACAGAATAAGCACTTAAAATTTCATGTTGAATGAATGAATGGATAGGTGAGTGAATGATGAAAAGTGCATACACTCAAAGCTTCACATGTGGAAACTTACGTGAAGCAGAAACCCTCGCTAGAGAAGAACAACAGAAATATTTTACACTTAAGTGAGCACTAGGAAATACTAAGACTGTGTACCCTGCTGGGGGCAGGAAACTTGCAAGATCAGAATAAAACAAAGCAGTCTCATCAAGTTCTTGCTTTCTTAGTTTTCACTGTAGTAATAACTATTTATGTGATTCACCAAAAAGTCATTCATTACCTAGAATCCTGCTATGTAAACACTTAGGGGGCATGATTAAGATGATAGTTCTCCTGGCGAAAATAAATTGCTTTTCAAATTATAATAGCTAACCATGCAGACTAGGTGTTGGAAAAATTAAGTATTTGAAACATGATCAAGTTTACCCTTGTCTGCACCAGCAGCATCCCTGAGTGCTCTTCATTTAATCCCTAGGCTGGGCATTAGGATTGTGAATGTTGTGTTCGGAAACATCAGCTCTAAAATAATTACCTAAATTTGTGTTGAACCAACAAAATGGGATTTTTTTATTTTTTTTAGGAGAAAGCATACCTGTTACAAAGACCCCTTTGCCCCACTCGGAGAACACCATGCCCTGGAAATCTCACAGCCTGGAGGATTATCGGAGACATGTCCTTTTTTGTGGAACAGAAGTTATCCAGGTTAAGCCCTCTGGTCAGGGACCTGTAAAAGCAGTTGTTTTGCAAACAGGTTAGTAGGTGCTTCTTTTGCAAATTTAGTCCACCTTTAAAGGAGAACAGAGTTGGATTAAGAACATTTTGATTCAGGTCTCTGAGTTTGCCACTTTCTGGTAATGACAATTGTATTATTTTCCAGACAGACTTTTGTTTGCCTATCAGTTCCAACACTGTTAGAACTCTTCAGTGTATTAAAGCTATACATGGATGAAGTAAAGTTCCTCAAATGGAAACCTATGGTCTTCATTTTGCTGTGTACACAGGCTTTTTCTTTTTTCCTAGTACACATCTCTGCTGAATGATTAAAAATAAGATTCAGTAACTCCCACTATGAAGACACAGAAACTTACTGCTGGGGTGTTATTTCAACCTCACTGGGTATATCCACCTGGATGCCCTTCAAACAGTTTAAAGTCAACACATCAAAAAGTGATTGCTTCTTGTATGGCCTCATTCTGTTAACAGCATGTCTGTGCACAAGTCACTTAATATCATCTTTAAGTCTTCACTGCCCCAAACACAAAACAAGTGTCAAATGTTGTTGACTTTACAAAGACTTGCTTTCACCTTATCCTTTCATCCACACTGTTGGGATTTTGTCCGGGTAACCCTCACCTCGTGCCTAGGCTATTAAAAAGAAATAGTCTTTCAAATATTTTGTTTTAAAGTTTGTCCCAATTTTTCTCTAACATACTCCCCAGTCTGTCACTCAAATCACATTTCTAAAAATTAGTTTGTAGAGGTCCATACCATAATGGGAAATTTTCATGATTAGAATAAGTCCCATTTCTTTTTTATAAGGCAGTGCCTGATAAAGATTGTCCATGATCAGGTCTCATCAATTTGTTCTCACCCCTAACCTCTGTTTCTGCTAACCCACAGATCCAAACCACACAATGAATTCAATACCTCCACTCTTTAGTATCATCTGTGACTCAATTGCTATAACCATTTTTTAAGAACTAAAACTGTAAATGGAAATCTTATTGATGTTGAGCAGGTTTTCAGAGACTGCAAATCACACAGGAGAGTGTTCATTTTCCTCGTGTGGAGCCGCTAATGAATTTGAACCACCAAAAAGGAACCACCTTAAAATTAGCATAATAACTGCCCATTAACTATGCCACCAGAGCTCCTCTAAAATGATACGGTTGGTTTTATGTTCAAACTCATTTCTCACACAAGAAGAAACTAACGGGTGTGGATTTTGAAGTCTTTAAAACACTAAGATGATGAGTTAGAGGAAACTGCTCATTTTCACAAAGGCTGTAAAGCTATATTGGAGGAGACCAGAATCTGGTTCAGATGGGTTTTCACCAAACCATAGGAATAGGTGTGTTTCAAACTACTAGAATTGAATCACGTCTATAACATATAGCAGCCAATCATATCATCAACAACTAAGATATAAATGAGTACTTATTGACTTTTAGATAAGTAGTTCCAAACCACAAGCTGATCCAAAGGAGAAAGATGAACAATCTCCTCCCACAAGGATTTATAGCCTTGGAAGCCTGTGGATGATCACTATGGATCAAAGCAACCCGATGGCAGTGGGTTTGATTTTCTGTTCACTGAGTACTATTCACTGAGGAAGAAAGAAAACAGTTGTAGTACATTCATGATGCTTAAAAATGAAGATGGTTGGTACAGCAAATGCATGGATGTACAACTAACTGATACTTGCAGAGATGATAGATGGCAAACACCTAAGCATGGTGGGGACCACAAAGAAGGAGATATCTTAGGTATTTCATATGGTAGGAAAATTTTGAAGATCAGAAAAGTCCTATCAGAGAGTGGAAAAGGATTTGCTAATTGTGCCTAAACACAAAGGCAGGACTGTTCAGGGATAATATGAAACTAGTTAGCAGGTGAGAGCAGTCTACTCAAGTAGGGGAAGATGTGGTTGAAGGGAACCTGGAACACCATGTCTAGCAATTGTGTTATTATTCTACACCATAGCACATCTAGTGAGGTTTTTGATCAAGTCAATGACATGATTGAAGATACTTGCCTGTATATTTTTAACAAATTGTTTGTCCTTGTGTTTTCCTTACTTTTTAATTCTCCATTTATTTTCACCACCTATCTGTGTTTCATGCTTGGGAAAGTAGGGTCAACTGAAGAAAGGAAGAATTTCAATGAGATGGATTGACACAGTGATTGCAACAATGAACTTGAGCATGGAAGAGGTTGTGAGGTAGTACAGGGCAGGGCCAAGTTTTAATCTGTTGTCCATAGAATCACAATGAGTTGTAGTCCACCACCACCAACAAGAATAACAACTTCTATGCTTTTAAACCTTTCATTTCTCTGATCACTTAATTCCCCAGCTCTTTCATCTTCTTTTATACAACCCTTCAGTAGCAGTGATGTGTGCATAAAATAAATGAAACAAAGCTAAATGAGTGCCATTTATTGCTCCTTATAATTAAGAGTGAATGTACTCTTAGCTCATGGGAATGTTCTCTTTAGTCCTATTCAAATGGTCCTCTCACTCAATCTTTAACTCAATCTAAACTATTTTAGGTTTTCAAAGAAACAATATTAAAGAACCTGGCTCCATTATTGTCTTCATGTAGGTTACAATACAGCTAAAGGCGACTTGGTGAGATCCATCCTCTACCCCCGGCCTTTGAACTTCAAACTGTACAGTGATGCCTTTAAGTTCATTGTGTTCCTGGCTTGCCTTGGCGTTGTCGGTTTTTTCTATGCCCTTGGGGTATATATGTACCATGGGGTAAGTACTAGGTTTTTCAATAGCACAGTTTATTTAAGAGCCTGACTTTACTCAACAGGGTTAGATAAAGTGATGTCTTAGTCTCCTCATATTGTCAAGTAGTACAATAGAACTTTTTCAGATGTCAGAAATAATTCTGTATCCTCACTCTCCTAATATAGTAGACATTAGCCACATGTTTTGAGCACTTGGAATGTATCTAGCATGACTGTGGAAATGAAATTTTAAATTGTGTTTCCATTTACTTACATTTAAATAGCTATATGTGATACTGTGTGTTGTTATATGAAGTTCAGACAGAACCAACTTGTATCTCACCCTCTGGCAAGTTTTCAGAGGCTGTGAATTACATGGGAAGAGATTCTTCATCTTAATCCCTAAGAATAGTTGGTGGATTTGAATTGTCTGCCTTTGGGTTGGCAATACAAGTCTTTACCCATTAGGCCATCAGAGCTCCCAACTAACATTGTTTACTATCAAGTCAGAACTGACCTGTAGCTGATCTTCCAGCAGGTTTTCAGAAGCAGTAAATCACGAAGGAGGAGACTGTTCATCTGTCATCTGCAGAGGAGCTTGTCGATTCAAATGACAAAACTTTGGGTTGCAGAGTGGCGTATACTCGGGGTGGGGTGTGTGTGTGGGGGGGGATTGTGTACCAATGAAGGAGTTTTGCTTTTACTTTTCAAGGAGAGGAGCAAACTTGGTGGTGGGCAGGGAGAAAAGTGCAACAATGAATGAATGGAATTCCAAAATCTCTGTTGGTGTTCATTCAAATTAATAAAAAAACCCCAAAACAAACAAACAAAAAACCCTTTGGCTTTGCAGTCCAATTCTTTATGACTAATCCACTAGAGCTCCCTCAACAAAGGTAGACAGTGGCAATTGCATAATACAATGCAGCTATTAAAAGTGGCAAATTCACCACTTGTTGGCCATCTTGTAGGGAATAATAGTTTAAATTTTGTGTAGTACTTGTGATACCTAAAACCATACAATCTCAGAGAAAATACATTTTTCTCAAGGCTGATGAGAAAAATTTAATCAATATTTCAGAGAGAGGGAAAGGCATGCTAATTTATGTCAGTAAACCACAAAGAAAGACTTGCATAGAAGCTTTCTGAAATCAGTAAGTAATTAAGAGATAAGTCTCAAAGGATAGATGCAGATAGGAATGAAAGGGACCTTGAACACCATGCCTAGAAAATGGAACATTCTCTTACAGTGTGTGGAAGTAGTCATTGCCTCAGGAAATACCCAGGCCACCATACAGTTTAAGGGCTATCTGTGCATCCTGAGTGAATTCTGAAAGAAAATTAAATGTCTCTATGTTTTTATGTGGTTTGGGTGAAATTCCAGGGCAAATTTCATTCCCCTTCAACAAAAACGTATGCATTTTCCCCTCTGACATTTGTTGCAATGCCCTCAGTGTAACAGCTCTCTTTCTTTCTCCTCTTTTCACTGCCTTGTATGTTCTTCTGTCCGAGTCTTTGTCCAGTCTGAGCTTTGTTTTGGGGCAAATGCTTCTTTTGGTCTCTTATGGTTGATTGTTCTGAGGATTACATTGCTTATGAGTATTAGCGTTGCGTTTATAGCTCTATTTTTAAAATTTTGTCTATTAAATATCTAATTTCACACAACTGCCTACCACAGAGATTCCTCTTCCCTTTAAGCTTCAGGGTATCAAGTTTCAGTTTGGATGACTTTCTTTAGATATGTAATAATAGTGGAAGAGGAAGGATATATAAAAATGTCCTTTGAAGTCCTTTATATTTGTAGAATGTGATTCTGTTATAAACTGTGGAGTTTGTACAGGACGATATGCTGGGATCTTAGCATTTTTTTCTGGTAGAGGGGAACTTTTAATATGAAGGTCCAAACACAGGTATGAAACTGGGACCGGCTGATCTACTTACAATGTCCACACTTAGAGCACATAGACTTTCTACATGTGTGGAAGAAGAATATTGACAAACAAAGATACAGTTACAAGTATTTCTAAACAATGATTATGGGTGAAATTAAACTCTGGAGAGTCATTTGAAAGCTAAGTAAGCTTACAGAGTCTATTTCTAGAGCAGAGGAGAGCAGGGCACTTTGACACTAGTCGAGTAGAACCTTAAAAACAGTTATTAGGCAGAGGGTCAAAGCCACAGGGGTTGGATTTGAGGTAATATTCTAGTTTCATTTGGGGAAGCAGGGGCACTGAGCAGGAATGTCATACCAAACTCTCTCTTTGGTGCCAAGAAGCCCAAGCAGTGACTGGAAATTAAGTAGAACTCTCCATCCATCACACACTAAAACAGCAAGACCAATCTCTGACTTCATCTTTCTGTGGGTCAGAATCTATAGGCTGATTTGATTGGAGGGTCAAAGTTCCTCTGTGAGTGTGATTAGGAGAAACAGGGATTGGTGGAATTTGTAATCAGTCAAGTGGGCAAAAGATTACTGAATTTGAATATGACAAAAAATTTTAAAAAGACTGTACCTAAAATACTAACTTATTTTATGCAAGTATGGCAAGATTGTAAGAGTAGAATTATCATATCTGTCTAAAGAGCAGGAAAGGGAACATAGGTACACAGGGATGTTAGCATCATTCTGAAGGGGTCAGAGGGAGTGAGACTAGCACAGCCCATCACCACTCCAAAGCAGAAAGCAGATAAAGAGCCCATAGTCCAGACCCTCAGTACCTCTAGAGCCACACCAGCAGCAAGAGGTTTGTTTTCTCTTTGTTGACTCATAGTCTCACAGTTGTGGTACTAAGAATGGGCTTTATTAAAGAAGTTTATTAGAAAAGTAAATCCAAGTTTTAGCCCAGCAATCCCAAGGCAGGATTTATCAACTGGTGTAGGTTCTAGCTTCAGTTTAGCAAGTACCTTTCCCTTCCATCAACAAAGGCAAGAAAAGCAAAACCTTTAACTGTAGCCAGTACAAATGCAAGAAACTTCAGGTCATACCTTGCCATAATTTTTCCACAGTAGTGCTAGAGTCTGTCCACAACAAGCACCAGGATCTGGCTCTCTCTGGGTTTTGTGCTAATCTCCCTCAAGTTTGCAACCCAAATCCTGCTGCCACAAATCTTGCTACTCAGTGTGAGAAACTCTCTTATCCTAGTCCCACAGCTGTAGATAATTTGCAAGAATCTGTGTCTGCAGGTGAGGTAGAGACCAGAGGAAGCTTAATGTAATGGCTTAAAGAAAGACAACTTTTAGGCTAACACCACAATATCTAAATTATGTTAAAAACATTGGTGAAGTCTCCTCTCCAGACCTACCTGGGATTCTGAATCCATGAAGGCCGACTCAATAATCAGCACATGGCCAAGTGCTTGAACCCTGGAACCAAACAGACAAAGATTCAGATTCTCACTATATAACTAGCATTTGATTTGGGGAAGTTATTTAAACTTTTTTCAGCATCAGTTTTCTCATCAATCACACGAGAAAATAACAATAGTAACATCAGAGGAGAAATGTGACATCAGGATTGAAGATAGACTCATCAACAACCTACATTATTCAGATAACACTGCCTTGCTTGCTAAAATTGAAGAAGAGCTGAAATACTAGCTACAAAAGCACAAAGACTGTAGTCTTCAATAAGCTCAACATGAAGAAGACAAAATATTCTCACCACTGGGCCAATTGGCAGCATCATGATAGATGGAGAAGATACTGAGGTTGTCAATCAATTACGGCTTGCTCGACCTCACAATCAACAGTCTTAACACCAGCAGTCAGGAAATCAAAAGACAAATTGCATTGGGAAAATCTGCCACCAGAGATCTCTCCAGAGTGCTATAGAGCATCTATGTCAGTGGTGGACAATGACTAAGAATGACAGAAGAAGAATTGATGCCTTCAAATTGTGGTGCTGAAGAAGAGTCTTAAAAGTACCATGGATTGCAAAGAAAACAAATAAGTCTGTCTTGGAGTGGGTGAAACCAAATCTCTCCTTGGAGGCAAGGATTTGGAAGTCTCACATGCTTTGGGCATGTGGCCAGGAGAAAGCAGTCCTTGGAGAAAGACATCATGCTCGAAAAAGTGGATGGACAGCACAGGAGAGGAAGACCCATGATAAGATGGATTGATACTGGGACAATGGCAGTTGGTGTGTTGGAATTAGTGAGACTGAATCAGGACAAGGATGAGTTCAGAGAAGCTGTACAGAGGGTCATTATGGGTCATAGGTGACTTGACAGCACGTAAAAATAACAACATTATGTTGGTTGGTTTTTATTTAGCCCTTTTATTTGTCTATTTATTTTGTCAAGAAGACCTTGTGGAGAGTCTTTGTATTTAAAAGTCAGTTCTTATATTTTGGAGGAACATTCTTCTAAGTGGTACAACACTCTTCTATCAATTTGCAGTACTAAGGTAATCTGGGATTACTGTTATATTGAACCTTGTGCCACTGGGCTGTCAGATGCCATAACAGTTACACATGGTGGACAGTGTTTGGTGGAGCTTCCAGTGTAAGACAGGTTTGGAAGCACGAGTGGCATCCACTACATGCATCTGGAAACTCTATGAACATTGAAAAATGACAATAGTTATAGAAAGACTTCAGATATTTTGTTCATAGGGTCACTATAAATCATGCTTGGCTCGATGGCAATCAACAACAACAGTGAATAAGGAGTTCCGTTAGTGATTCTGCTGGAGAAAGATGAGCAGTCTCCTCCCATATGATTTACAACTCTGGAAACCAGTTGGTGGGTCATCTGTAAGTCGGTTCTGATGCAATAGCAATGAGTTGCTGAATTTAATCAATATATAAAAGTATATCTAGATATACTATACAGAAATATATTAATTTTATTGGCTTTTATGTTATTTTGTTTATTTTTAAAATATTGGCTTCTCTACAGTTTATTACAAGGACATTGTTGGCTCAGTGTTATTATTCTCATCTTCCAAGTGGGAAACCTCCATTTAATTTTTGACCAATGCACTTCATGTGTATTGATACTATCAGCTACTCATGTGTGTTGAGTGCCCACAGAATAAACACATTGTCTCCCACCAAAGAAGACAGGAGTCCTCTGATCCCAGTTCCATATCCAACCTGACCTTCCCTGACTTTGTCTCTCTCCAATCAGATGCTTATCCTTTCTCTAGTCATCACATCTCCATCTTCTTGTTGTTAGATGCTTTTTAGTCACCTACAACTCATAGCAACCCTATGAACAACAGCTCTGAACCTTGTCCTATCCTGAGCCAATCTCACTGCCTTTGGCACACTTACCCACATTACCCCAATTATTGTGTTATTCCATTTCATTCAGGGTCTTCCTCTTCTATGCCCCCCCTCCACCCTTCCAAGAATGATGTTCTTCTCCAAGGACTGGTCCTTCGTGGAAATAGAACCAAAGTTATGTGAGACAGAGCTTCAAAATCCTTGCTTCCAAGGAGCAGCTTGGTTTCACCCTTTCCAGGACAGACCTGTTTGTTCTTGTGGTAGTCTGTGGAATGTTCAATACTCTTCTCCAGCACCACAACTCAAAAACATTGATTTCAGAGGCATTCAAAATACACAGTAGCCATCAGACATTTGTTGGGGGGTAGGCTGTGTGTTGCTTTGATATTGAACAAGGTTCTAGTTCAATGTCTAGACTAAGACTATGAAGAAACTTCTCAGGATCTGCTTTTGAAAATCAATTATTGAAAATCTTATGGAACAGAAGTCTTCTCTCTAGCAGAACATGAGGATAGAGTAGGGCAGAGAAGTGTTTTTCTCCATTATGGAAGGAGCTGTCATGAATTGGGGACTACATGATGATAGCCAGTAGTGATAACTTAGTTGATACCTATTAAGATCTTGGCATAATCTAGTGTTGTATATATTTTTAGATCAGATGATGTACTTATACTGTATACACTCTGTCCTACATGAAGGGCAGACTCACTGCCCTTGGAGGTCTATGCTTAGACCTCCAAGTCTACTATGGGGTGGCAAAAGGAGTGTACGGGAATGTCTACAGGTTGGGTGGTGGCCTGCTCTGCTGGGCTAACCTCTGTGTCCCTCCCTTCACCAGATCCCTTCAGGAGAAACCTTGCCCATGGCCCTACTGCTCCTCACCGTGACTGTCCCACCCGTACTGCCAGCCGCCCTCACCACAGGCATCGTCTATGCTCAGAAAAGGCTGAAGAAGAAGAAAATCTTCTGTATCTCCCCGCAGAGGATCAATATGTGCGGCCAGATAAACCTCGTGTGCTTTGACAAAGTATGATCTCAGCCTTCCACATGGGAGGGCAATGATTTCTAAGTTGGGAAGGGCCTCAGAGAATGCCTCCTCTAGCACCTTCATTTTGCAGAGAGGCCTCTGAGTCCAGGCATGGCTCAGAGTGCCAGAGCACAGTCTAGAAGGCCACTTCCCTGGGCTCCAAGGTCATGCCTCAGATATCACATTATGAGCTTTGTCCCTGTGAAATGAAATATTTTGGGGCCTGTTCTGGATATTGTGTTTCAAATCAATTTCTTACTATAATAACTCCTCTGACTGACTGGCTTTTTCAGTTGTGTGTGTTTTGGTTGGTTTTTTTTTTTTTTATTTTTCTTTATTGTGTGACTGGCTTTTTTTTTAGGGGGGAAACTGAAGAACATTTTGTTCCCTGTTGAGCTCTGGTGAGGTAAGGAGTTGCACTGCTTACCCTAACGCCGGAGGATCAAATCTACCAAGTACTTGTAGAGAGAAAGATGGGCAGTCTCCTTCCATGTGATGTACAGCCTCTGAAAACCCCCTGGAGGGTCAGCTATGAGTCAGTTGTGGCTCGATGGCACATAACAACGGCCACATGGTGCTTTGTGAGCTTTAGCATAGTCCTTTCTCTTGCTCTGCCTTTTTTAAGGAAAGGCAGGGAGTGGACAGTGCTGTGTAATTGTACTCTCTTCTTTGCTCTCACAAAATAAGTAGGGAAAGGAAGTAGAGCGAGTAGGGAAAAGAGAAATGTAGCCAATAAAGCCAGTGCCATACATTGGAGACCTTAGTGGAGATAGGAGTGAAGCTACCACTGGTAAAAGGTCACCTTTGAGCTGTTGCTTTGATTGTTAGGTAAACTAAAAGGAGAAGACAGGTCTCAGGCTCAAAGGAGAGTATTTTCAACACTCAGGGATGTGAAAGGTCTAGAATGGTCAGAGAACAGAGTACAGTGGACTGTGCCTAGACTCTATGTAGGAAATGAAACTAGAGAGGAAAAAAAAAATCTTTGTAATTAAAACCCCTTGTGCCAGACTAAGGAGGCTGGGCTTGTTTTGATGAAAAACTCCTGGCACTTTTGTAGATTGGTTTTGTTTATTTCATCTGAGACAAGAGGGACACAGGATTGAGACAAGACAACTGTTTGAAGGCCATTTAGGGTCATAAGCAGAGACCGCTGGCAGACCTAGACAGTGAGAGTGCAGAGGACAAAGGAAAGAGTAAGGAGACACTCATGGAGCAGATGTGACGAGTCTCTGTCACTAGTTGAAGGTGACATTATCTTTTAGATTGTTTCTGTTTAATCACTGTGTGTTTTGTTTCTCAAGGAAGGTCTTTATCTCTACCAGTGATGAAATAGAAGATTAACTTAACAGTAGCTTCAGTTTAAGTCCAAAATGTCCCTTAGACAATTTTTAGCAAGCGTATTTCAGTTTCTACTCTGCAGATTTACAAACATCTAGTACAGGAGGAAGATGGATAAAATATGTCTTTACCAATCTGCGGGTTTCTGGAACTAATATTCTCATGAGGGTGTTCATTTATTTATTTTTTTTTAACTGAAAATCTTTTCTTCTGCTTCTTCACTTGCTCCTCTGTCAGACCGTCTGCAGGAATGTTTTGGGGTGAAGCTTGCTTGGTCAAGCTCTCAGCAGCAGAAGTGCCTCAAATAATGCAAAGAACTGTTGATTTGAAATTACCCAAATGTGAAATCTAATCCTGAGTTTTACGTGAAATTTCCGTGTGGCGTTTCAAGATAAGAAGGCTGAAATATAATGATCTCCAGTTTTCCTTCCAGCTTTTACAGAATCATGCTCTATTAGCATGACCTTGAAATGACGCACCTCAGGATTAGTTGTACCTGCTTTCCCACATGCTTTTCTAATTCACGCATATTTTGTTACCAAGTTCTTTAAAGAAGTACACACCTTTTTCACAGAATTCAACCCAAGCCTGGGTTGTTTTTTGTGAGTTTTGTTGCTTTTTATAATTTTTTATTGTGATTTTAATGAAAAGTAGCAGAAAACTTGGTTTTAATTCATTCACTGTTGAACATTTTCCTCCCTACCCCTAAACCCAATTTCCTTTTCTCTTTAAAGAAAAAAAAAATCATTCAATTTTGCACAACTTTTTCTCCCTGCCCCCACCCCCTACCCGTCAACCTTGCTATGCACCTCTTATTCTGGACTGTTGCCATGTAAATAATGCAAAATCATATATTTCCTTTAAAACTATTCTTTCCCTCATCTGTATCAATGCAGTGTTCATTATTTACTCCCTCTTTTCTTAGTTTCCCTACAACTCTCAATGTCAGTCCTGTTTTATAACAGTGGCACTATGCAGTATTTGTACTTTTGTGACTGAGATATTTCACTCAGCATAATGTCCTCCATGGTCATCAATTTTGTATAATATTTTATGAGTTCCTTGTTTATCAGTGCTGCATAGTATTCCACTGTATGGATATACCACAGTTCCTCTATCCATTCATTCATTTGTTGATGGGCACTTAGTTTGCTTCTATCTCTTTGCTATTGCAAACAACACAGTAATAAACATGGGTGTGCATATCTGTTTGGGTGTAAATTCTAGTTTCTTTAGGGTATATTCCCAGTAGTGGTATTGCTGGGTCAAATGGTATTTTTGTTTTTCAAACTTTAGAGTAAATACCATACTGCCTTCCATAGTGATTGAACCATTTTATACTCCCACCAGTAGTGAAGAAGGGTTTCAATTTTTCCACAACCTTGCCAGCATTTTTTGTTTGCTCCTCTGTTGAACATTGCTATTGTTACTGGTATCTAACAGTTGTTTTGATTTGCATCTCTTTGATAGCTAGGGATTTTTGAAATTTTTTTCATTTGTTTGTTTGCCATCTGAATGTTTTCTGTGGTGAAGTGTCTGTTCATACCTTGTGCCCATTTTGCATCTGGGTTGTTTTGCAATTGGTTGTTGTGGATCTCTAGTATTCTGGAAATTCTAGACGTAAGTCCTTTATCAGACGTCATTACCAAAAAGTTTTCACAGTCTGTGGCTTTCTTTTTTTCCTTGTTGGAGAAGTTGGTTTTTTGTTTTCTTTTTTTCTTTTTGTTTTGTTTGATGTACATAGGGATTTGATTCTTAGAAGGTCCTATTCATCAGTTTGATTCGTTCCTAGTTGTAGATTTTTCAGGATGTTTGGAGGACTTTCATGTTGTAGATTAGGGCTTCTAGAGTTCTTCCAGTCTTTTCCTTGATGAAATTTATAGTCCATGGTTTTAGTCCTAGGTCCTTGATCCACCTTGAGTTGGTGTTTGTGTATGGCATGAGGTGTGGGTCTTGCTTGAGTTTTCTACAGATAGTTTTTCAATTTTGCCAACACCATCTGTTAAAGAGGCTTTCGTTTCCACACTTAACTGATTTAATTTCCTTGTCAAAAATCAGTTGACTAGAGGTAGATGAACTGATTTCTGGGTTCTCAAATCTATTCCATTGATCTATGTGTCAGTCATTGTACAAATACTAGACTTTCTTGGCCACTGCGACTCTGTAGTAGGATTTGAAATCAAGAGTGCTTTGCTTTTCAGGGTCTCTTTCCATTCCAGGTGAAATTGGAAATTGCCTTTTCCATCTCATTGATGAAAGGAATTGGTATTCGTATTGGGGTTTCATTGAACTTGTAGATTGCCTTTGAATTGTCAGATTCACAATATTAAGTCTTTCTATCCATAAACATGGTATATCCTTTCATTTCTCTAGATTTTTTTCTTGTAGTAATGTTTTGAAATTTTCTTTCAACAAGTATTTTAAATTTCTAGTTAGATTTACTCCCAAGTATTAAATCTTGTTGTTAGCTATTGTGATGGGTATTGTTTTTCTTAGCTCCAGTTCTGTATACTCTTTGTCAACATAAAGAAATTCAGTTGATTTTTTATGTTGATATTGTATCCTGCCACTTTGCTGAATTGGTAGACTATGTCTAGTAGTTCTCTTGCTTTGTCTTTAGGGTTTCTAAGAATAGTATCATATAATCTTCATATAGAGATAATTTTACCTCCTCTTTGTCAGTTTGGATATCTCTTATTTCCTTCTTTTGTCTTATTGCTGTTGCTAAGACTTCCAGTATAATATTGAATAGGAGAGGTGATAGTGAGCAGTTTTGTCTAGTTCCTATTCTCAGAAGGAATGCCTTTAATTTCTCTCCATTGAGAATGATGTTGACTTTTTACTTGATTGAGGAAATTCCCCTCTACTCCTATTTATTTGACAGTTTTAATAAGGAAAGTGGGTTGGATTTTGTCAAAGTCCTTTTCTGTTTCGATTGATAGGATTATGTTGTTCTTGTTCTTTGCTTTGTTAATATGATGAATGACACTGATTAATTTTCTTAGGTTGAAACCATCCTTGCATACCTGTTATGAATTCCACTTGGTCATGGTGAATTATTTTTCTGATGTATCTTTGGATTCTATTGGCCAGGATTTTTTTTTTTCCAGGATTTTTGCATCTATGTTCCTGAGAGATATTGGCCTATAGTTTTTTTATTTTGGTGGTGTCTTTACCTGGTTTGGTATCAAGGATATGTTTGCTTCATAGAATGAGCCTGGGAGCATTCTATCTGATTCTATTTTCTGAAATAGTTTCTGTAGAATTGGTGATAGTTCTTTTCTTAATGTTTGATAAGAGTCTCTTGTAAAACCATCTGGTTCAGGGCTATTTTTGGCTGGAAGTTGTTTTATTACATTTTCAAATTCTTCTTTTGTAATGGGTCTGTTCCAGTGTTCAATTTTGGTTGGTTTCAGTTTAGGTAGATTGTGAATGTCTAAGTATTTGTCCATTTTCTCTAGGTTTTCATATTTTTTTAGTATAGTTTTTCCATAATATTCCATTGTTAGTCTTTTTCTTTTACTTTATTCTGTTATGATGTTGCCCATTTCATCTTTATTTGGATTATTTGTGTCTTTTCTTTTATTATTTTTGCTAGTGGTTTGTTGATTTTATTGAACTTTTCAAAGAACCAACTCCTAGTTTTGTAGATGGTTTCAATTGGTTTTCTGTTTTCCATTCATTTATTTCTACCTTGTCCTTTGTAATGATTTTTTAGTTGAAATCTATTTTATCAAAGATGAATATTGCTACTCCTGCCTTTTTTCTCATTGCCATTTGCTTGGAATATTTTTCTCCACCCTTTGATTTTTGGTCTTTCAGTTTTCAGGTGTGTATTTTGTAGACAGTATTTTGATGGATTTTCATTTTTTTATCCAATTTGCTACTGTTTTCCTCTTCAGTGGTGCATTTAAACTACTCACATTCAGTGCAACTGTTGAGAGGCAAAGTTTTATTGCTATAATTTTGTAGGGTTCTTTTTGTTCTTGTTTCTGCTTACTGGGGTCCGTGCTGCTTTCTGTGGCATCTCTGTAGTAAGGATTTCTCACAGTGTTTCCTGGAACACTGGTCTTGTTTTTATAAACTCCCTTAGGTTGTGGTTTTCTGGGACTATCTTGATCTCTCCTTCATATCTGATGAAATTTTTCTGGGTACAGTATTCTTGGTTGACAATTGTATTCTTGAGTATTTCATACATGCCATTCCACTGTCTTTTTGCTTGCATGGTTGCTGCTAAGAATTTGGCACTTAATCTTATTTGCTCTCCCTAATAGGTTACTCTTCATTTCTTCCTAGCTGCTTTGAGAATTCTCTTCTTTGGTTCTTGCAAACTTGACTATGACATGCCTTGGTATTTTTATTTTGGGGTCTATTCTACTTGGTGTTCACTCAGCCTCTTGAGTATGTATTCTTTCATTCTTCATTATGCCTGAAAAGTTTTCTTCTAGTGGTTCTTCCATAACTTTCTCAGTTCCTTTACCTGCTTCTTCCTGTTCTGGGATTCCAATTATGTGCATGTTATTCCTCTTGATTGTGTCACACATTATTCTTAGGCTTTCTTCTTTTTCTTTCCTTTTTGATTCTGCTTTTTGTTTTAGTAGGTCTGTGGTGACAATTCTATCTTCTATTTTGCTGGTCTATATTCCATCTCTTCAACTCTGTTCATATGCCCCTCTAATATATTGACAGTATCTGAAATATTGATCCTCATATTCTGGATCATGGTTTCTTGTTTTCCCAGAGCTTCTAATGCCTCCTTTTTTAAATCTGCATTGTCTTGGATTGTGGTGTTTTGTGTTTTTGTTTTTTGGGGTTTTTTTTTGTTTTGCTTTGTTTTTTTGTTGTTATTTTTAATGTTTCTCTTGGTTTTTGCTTACAGAGTCCTGTAATTCTTTGAGTTTGTCTTTCACCCATTGAAAATATTCAGTCATTGTTCTTTTGAAGTCTGTGTCATAAAATTCCATCAAACTTTCTGGCTTCAGGAAATGCACTGATACTGTTTAGCTTTGGGGAGGTAATATTTTGTTTTAGGTTTGTGTAGGGGTGAGGTTTTCTGTTTCTTCTGTGCTATTGCTGTGGTAGAGTTTTTTAAGCTGGAAGTATTAGCAAGTTCTTGGTCTGATAACCTTGGCTCAGGATATCACTGCTTGATAGGAGGGCAGGTAACTACCCTGCCTGAGTTTCTCTGATTTTTTGACTCAAGGGAAGACTTGCTTCAGTTGGGGAGAGATATGGCCTATGAATTAGCAGCCTTCTCTGTCAGGGAATTGCTGTAGCTAGGTGGGTCCAAAGTGCCTGAGGCTAAGGGCAGCTCAAGCTCTAAGAGATGGAGGAAATGGCTCATCTGTGATATTGGTGTCACTGGCACAATTCAGAGGGGCAGCAGTAAGTGGTTATCCAGACAGCAGAACTAGGACATCTGGGTGATGGGCAGGCACATTCAAGTGGCAGTGCAAAGGTGGTCCAGGTGATACGGCAAAGGATTTCAGACAGAGGGGTGCTTGGTGCTCCAGATGATGGGGCCACAGTCTAGTGCTTCCAGCAGAAGAGTCTTCCAGGCCACACTAAGAAATTTTTAAGACATATACTTAGCTAATGGACTGGAAGAAGTTCACACACAGTTTGGCGCTGTGCAGTGGACTTATTATTTTTTTTTGTACGTGTTAAATTTGCCTCTTCTATCTTATTCCCATTAGAGTAATAAATATAATTCTATTTTCTTACTAATTACTTTTATTATTACAAAGGTCATTTTTTAAAAGAGGAAAAAGAATGGTTCCATTTTTGTTTTGTGCTAGTCATTATCTGCTGTCACATTTGATATATAGATGATCATAAAAATAATTATTAAGAAAGCATTTCAATTTGAATTAAGTTGCTAACTCTTTTTGAAACAGAACAACTCAACGGGATTGGGAGTCTAAACATAGGGGATGAGGCACTGTATCATAAAATGTAGGAGGGAAATGAATCACGTAGATGATTCTTTAAGGAATAATTCTCATGAGTATGTTAGCAGTCTGTGAAGTCCAAATGGTTTCATGAAACCAAGGACCTTAATTTTTTAATCTAGAACTTGAGTGTGAGTTCTGTTTTACCACATGCTTTGTAGCATTCACTTAGAAGTTCTAGTCAAGTGGTAGACTACAAAAATCTGGGTTCCATATGCCTCTCTACACTACATAGTACTTTTTAAAAAATAGCTGCAATTGGGTAAATTTCACTCAAGGTGATTACATATATGTCAGAGTGTTATGCTCTGTAGAGTTTTCAATGGCTTGTTTTTCATACGTAGATCCTGAAGCCCTTCTTCTGAGGCCCCTCTGATATAGGTCACTGGGAATCTCCAAACTGTGGTTTCATTGCCAAGCACATAAATCAGTCCCTCAGCATCCTTTTCAGCACCCAGGACTCTACACTGTGCCCACAGACTGCTCATTCGCCTCTGAGAGTGTCTATGTGTTCTACTCAATTATAACAATCTGAAGCACTTGCAAGCCCTTCCCTATAAACATCATGCTAATGTAATGTAGTGTAGTGGTAGAAAATTCCATTTATTAGAAAACTAGAAAAGTTAGTGCCAGATACTTGTTTCTGTGGGTCAAATTAAAAGACCTGAGATGCCAGTGTTGAAACAGAATACTCAGCTTTGTAATGCTCCACTCAGCCTTGATAGTGGTAAATAGCTCATAGTTCAACTTCACTTAGTCTAACTTGGTGTTAAGTAGCACTAATGTTGTTAACTGAGTGCATAAAGACACTAAGGTCTGTAATTAATGGACAACTGTGAAGCAATGAGGAAATGAAAAGTGCTGTGATAGTTCCATTTTGCTTTGCTCTTTTACATTATCTGACAAATACTCTCCCATAATACCGAAAATCCAATCTCCCTCCATTTTTTTGCACGTTCTAACAATAAAAGTCATTCGTGGGCATTAATTAATACATATTATTAGCACTTAGTTTCTCTCTATACACTCAAAGCCCTCTATCAACATTTCATTATCAATCTGTACAGTCACCGTGTCACCCATATTTTTAGAAAATTGCTGGGAAACAGATGGCAAACTGTGAACCAAACAATCTTGCAAAGAAAAGGGGGAAAACAATCCCTAGCTTTCCTATAGAAAAATAGAAAGTGCCAGCTAAAATGTGAGACTCAAGTTAGGTCTTGTTGGATCTCCATTTAAGCAGCCTTTCCCATTTAGCAATAAGAGAAGTCACAATAGAGGGGAAAAAAACCACAATACAGCCATGTCATTTCTTTTCCATAGTGACATGAATAATGTCATTATCAACAGGGTCCTTTTAGGATCACCTGTTGACTGCTGATCTGCCTTTTGAATTGTTGTTGTTGTTGTTTATTGTTGAGTCAGCATCCATAGCTGACCCTCTAGTTGGCTTGTAACAGAGTTAATAAATCACACAGGAAGAGATTGCCCATCTTTCTTCTGAAGAGCAGCTGGTGGACTTGAACTGCGCACCTTTGCATTGACAGTGCAATTCTTTACCACTAAGCCACCATACCCTTTCTAAAATTAGTCTGATGCTTTGTTCTACTAGATCTACTGTAATTTCTTGGAAGCTTGAGTTTAGTTTAAATCAAAATGTTATTAAAAATTTTAAATCCTATGCTAATCCTACTTTTAATGTTTATTCAGACTGGGACTCTTACAGAAGATGGCTTGGACCTCTGGGGGGCAGTCCCTACTGCTGAAAACTGGTAGGTCCTTTACTGAAAAGGGAATTAGTACTTGGTGGGCTTTGCTTAGATTTGATAAGCAAATCTATCACTTTCGTATGATGTTGTTATATGCTGGCAAGTCCACTGCAACTCATAGTTACCCTATGAACAATAGTTCTGAACTTTGCCCTATTCTAAGCCAATCTCACTGTCTCCAACTACCTTCCTCTATTACCCCAGTTATTTTATAAATTCATCTCATGCAGGGTCTTTATCTTCTGCACTGACGTTCTACCTTCCAAGTATGATGTCCTTCTTCAAGGACTGGGCCCTCTGGGAAACATGCCCAAAGAATGTGAGATGGAACTTGAAGATCCTTGCCTCCAAAGAGCAACTGGGTTTCATCATTTCTAGGACACACTTGTTTGTTCTCTTAGAAGTTCCGTGGTATGTTCAATACTCTTTTCCAGCACCTCAGCTCAAAGGCATCAATTGTAATTCTTTCATCCTTACTCACTGTCCAGCTTTCGGATGAATAGTGAAGTAATTGCAAAGACCAGGGCCTGGATCAGGCACACTTTAGTCTCTAGACTGACATTATTGCTCTTCAGCACTTTGGGGATGTTCCTGAAGTAGATTTTCTCAATGCAACTCATCTTTTGATTTCATAACTGCTCATGCCAAAGGTGTCTATTGTGGACCTGAGCAAGATGAAATTAACAATCTCAATCTCTTCTCCATCTATCATGATGCTGCCAATTGACCCAGTGGTGAGAATATTTATTTTCTTGATCCTGAGCTTCGATCCACACTGTTTGACACTACAGTCCTTAACCTTCTGCAACAAATACTTCAGGTTCTCCTCAGTTTCAATAAGCAAGGTTGTTTCATCTGCATAATGCAGGTTATTTATGAGTCTTTCTACAGTCCTAATGCCACATTCCTTTTCATAAACTTCAACCTTTCAATGATCTGTTCCTTATATAGATTCAAAAGGTATGGAGAAATGACACAATGCTGACACACCCTTTTCTTGATTTTAAACCATGCAATGTTTCCTTGCTTTGTTCTGACGACTGCTTCCTGGTTTAAATGTAGGCTTTGTATAAGCACAATCAAGCGTTGTAGGATTCTTAGTCTTCCCAATGTTAGCAATAGTTTGTTGTAATCTACACAGTCAAATGCCTTTGTATAGTCAATAAAGCACAAATAGATATTCTTCAATTTGCTTTCAACCAAGATCATCTGACTTGGTGCTCTTTGCTTTCAGCCAAGTTTCATCTGACATTGGTTGTGATGTGCCTAGTAGTATGGCCTCTTCTAAATCCAGCTTGTACTTCTGATAGTTCTCAGTCGATATACTCTTTAGTTGTTTTTTAATAATCTTCAGTAGAATTTTACTTGTGTGTGCTATTAGTGATAGTGTTCAATTATTTCTGCACTCTAGTGGATCACCCTTTTTTTTTGAATGGTTGCGATTTATTCGCATCTATCTCTTCCATTCAAATTAAATTCTAGACCAATAGGCAGTGTTATTATGGATGGAGAGGATATTGAAACTGTCAGCAGCTTAATCTTGCTTGAATCCACAATTAACACCCTTAATACAAGCAGTCAGAAAATAAGGAGACACATTGCACTAGGAAAATCTGCAGTTAGGGACCTTTCCAAATTATTGAGGAGTAGTGATATCAGTTTGAGGACTAAAGTGCATCTGTTCAGGCCATAGTGTTTCTAATTACTAGCTATTCACCCAAGATCTGAACAATGAAAAATGATGACAGAAAAAAATTGATGCCTTTGAGCATCAGTTGGAGAAGAGCACTGAACATCCCATGAATGGCCAAGAAAACAAACAGATATGTCTTGGAAAGGGTGCAGCTGGAGTGCTCTTTGGAGGTAAGAATGATGAGTCTTTGCCTTACATACTTAGGACATGTTGCCAGGAGGTCCTGTTTCTCAGAGAGGGACATGACGTTGGGAAAGGTGGAGGGTTAGTGATGAAGATGAAGACCCTTAATCAGGTGGATAGCTATGGTGACTGTGCAATGGACTCTTGTGTGTACTCTCTTGCAGAGCTGTGTATGAGTTAAAACCACAGATCTCAATGCTACAAGCCAAGCACTTAACCACCAAGCTTGATGCCACCAAGTTCCATGGGTGCTGAAAATTTTTTGAGAATAAAACCAACTTCGTGTTGCTGTTATGTGTTATTGAGTCAGAATCAACTCAGCTAACTTTCCAGTAGGTTTTCAAAGGCTGTAAATCACACAGGAGATGGTTGCCTATCTTTTTCAGGAACAGCAGCTAGTGGACTTGAGCTATGTGCTTTTGGTTTGGAAGGACAACTCCTTGCCACTAAGTTCTCTAAGATGGAAGGAGAACAACGTAAAACAAAACAAAACAAAACAAAACAAAAACAACAACAACAAAACAAAACCAAACTCACCACCACCACCACCAAAAATCCGACAGTCCATACTATAAGAGGAAAACAGATCTTAGCTGTAGAAGGTGAAAATCAGAATTTCAGGAAAAGAGGGCAAAGTCCATGAATTACTTTACTTAACTAGAACCACCACACTGTCTTTCCAACCACTCCCCACTACCTCATTAATCTAGAGACATCTTTTCTGTGGTGTATAGCTGTCTGGAGCCCAACTCTGCATAATTTGCAGGTGTCAGCACTGTGCTAACACCTTTGCCCGGTGTGTCCACTATGTAGGCTGACCCTAAATTACAGGAAAAAATGCTCTGTGATCACATCCAAGGCCTCTGACATCATATATATATGTATATGTGTATATATATGTGTATATATATGTACATATATACATATATATGTACATATATATACATATATAGAGAGAGAGAGAAAGAGAGAAAATTAATGTGTCAGTGGCAAACGAACGCTTTTGTATGGATCACACTAATGACAGAATATTCTAGTCAGAAAATGAGAAAACCAAGTGAGCAGAGTCTCAAAGACAGGGGGACTCCTGCATAAGTGCAGAAATAGCAAGACATTTAGTTTGAAGACACTGTAGGGAATAAAGAATGTTTGTGTGAATTGAAGGTCTAAGGTAAGTTGTAGTTGGAGTGGGTTATTGTGGTTAGGAGCTGTGAAGTACAACTCATAGCAATCCTATGAAGAATAGGGCTGAGCTGTCCTAGCCTGTGCCACCCTCATCATCTCTGACACAATTAAGCCCATTGCTAGATTGTGCCAGTTCATCTCATTGAGGATCTTCCCCTTTCACTGACCCTTGCCTTTCTAAGCATGGTGTGCCTTTTCAATGAACAGCCTCTCCTAGCAATATATCTAAAGTATGTGAGATGAAGTTTCACCATCCTTGCCTCCAAGAAGCATTCTGACTGTACTTTTTTTCAAGATATATCGGTTTGTTCTTCCAAATATCGATATATCAATTTGTCCATGGAATACTCAGGACTCTTCTGCAACACCACCATTGATGCTCAAAAGGCATCAATTCTTCTATCCCTATTGAGCTCTCAGATGGTCATGGCTTGAATCAGGCACATCTTAGTATTCAAATGAACATCATTGTTCTTCAGTCTTTTGGAGAGGTCCCTGACAGCAGACTTGCCCAGTGCAATATTTCTCCTGATTTCCTGACTGGCTGGCTAAGCAGTCTGGGGTTTATCAGGTAGTGCTTGGGGAGCCATTGAAAGGGTCTAAGCAAAGAGGTTGCACTCTACCTTCATGGGATTTTAAGGATGGGAATGAGTTTACTGATGACCTTAAATTATTAATTAACTTTTCTGCCAGTTTCCAGGAAGTCCATATCTTTACCTCCGGCAAGGCTTTGCCATGGGGACCCTTGTGTGCAGCCATGGCCAGCTGTCACTCTCTGATCCTTCTCGATGGAACCATCCAGGGAGACCCACTTGACCTCAAAATGTTTGAGGGTACTGCCTGGGTAAGGCAATAGTTTCTTGCTATCATTGAATTAGAGCAATCTGAAGAAACCCTTATTGGGACCACTAAAGCTTTTCCAACCTAGGTAACCATTTAGCGAAGATTCAGATGAATGCTTAAAAGAATATTTGTTCTGACCAGTGTCTCCAAAGAACTCTGTAGATGAGTGCAATATAAAATAGGATCCCACAATCAAATACATTTGACAGCTGCTGTTCAAACAAGTAAAACAGATTTCCTACTTGTAAGATTTCTTGAATATATTGGAGTGTATTACAAATATTCATGAGAGGAATGTGATATGCCCCATTTATCAAATCTATTTACTACACAAAATTTTATTGACAGATAATATCATTGTACAAATGTTTCCCAGAACATTCTCAGAAAAATAACAGTCTAGAGGTATCCAGTAGAACTTTCTGCAACGATGGCAGTATATCTATACTGTCCTATATAGTAGTCACTTGTCAAAAGTGACAATGGAATACTTGAAATGCGGCAATGTTACCAAGGAATGGAATTTTTTACTTTAACTTAGTTTATGTAGCAGTGAAAACTTCTCTATTGGGCAGCGTGAATCTAGATGCCAAACTAGAGGACACTTGTTATTATGTGCCGTTGAGTTGTATGCAACTCATGGCGACCCTGAGTACAATCCTGCTCTATCCTGTGCCAATCTCACTGTCTCTCACATACCTACCTCATTACCTCCATCACTGAATCAATTTCATTGAGGGTCTTCTTCTCTTGTACTGTCTCTCCAACTTTCCAAGCATGATGTCCCTCTCCAAGGATTGTCCTTCTTTGCAACATGTTCAAAGTATGTCAGATGAAACTTTAGAATCCTTGCCTCCAAGGAGCAGCCTGGTTTCACCCTCTCTAGTGCAAACCTGTTTGTTTTCCTGGCAGTCCATGATATGTATATTCAATGCTCTTCTCCAGCACCACAGCTTAAAGGCATATATTCTCCTTCCATCATCCCTAGTCATCATCTTCAGCCAATTCAATTATCTGAGCTGAATGTGAATGAAAATGGAAAGATATAAACCTCTCCTGGGGGTGTCAAGATATGATGGGAAGATTTTGGGAATGTCCCAATCGTTAATTGCATGGCCCTGAACCTGATAGTGGAATCTAAGTCTGTCACCTCCTTTGTACATTTGGAGTGGGCTTTGAGATTATGATCCCACAGGATCTTTGAATACTAGTTGTTGTTGTTGTTATGTGCCGTTGAGTCGTTTGCGACTCGTAGCGACCCTATGCACAACAGCCCTAAACCCTGCTCTATCCTGCACCAACCGTACTGCCTCCAACACACCCATCCCAATTACCCCAGTCACCGAATCAATCCATCTCATAGAGGGTCTTACCCTCCTGTGCTGTCCCTCCACTCTCCCAAGCATGATGTCCCTCTCCAAGGACCCGTCCTTCCTGGCAACATGTCCAAAGTATGTCAGACGAAGCCCCAGAATCCTTGCCTCCAAGGAGCAGCCTGGTTTAATCCTCTCCAAGA